GGGGCTGCCCCAGGGTGGAGGCGGCCGCCCAGACGGTGTGGGCTCCAGGTTCCCCGCGGGGGCGCGAGGATCATCGCGCTTCGCGCGTCGGTGTCTGGGCGAGAGCGGCTGCCCCTTCTGCAAGGGGGCGGCGCGAAGGCGCGAGGGCGCGAAGGTGATCGCGCACCGCGAGGGCGCGAGGGCGCGAAGTTGGGCGACCTGGGGGCTGAGCTTTTCCCCCCTCCCTCGGCAGACCTCTGTCAGGCGATCGCAAACATGGATCAAGGGGGCGTGGATTATTGACGGGTCCTGTTCCCCGGGGGACTCCCTGATTTCCGCCGCCGAACGAGGCGGCACCGGCCACATTTGGGGAGGGCACCTCCCCCGATCCATGGATTTGCGCGCCCGCGATTCTGGGCCCTCTGGACGCCCCGTGCAGGCACTCGGCCCGCGGACGCAGGCGCAGAGGCGGCCTGGGGCGGCGCCGGCCAGTGGGGCGGCGCCGACCAGTGGGGCGGCACGGAGCCCTGGGGCGGCACGGAGCCCTGGGGCGGCGCAGAGTCCTGGGGCGGCGCGGAGGCCTGGGGCGGCGCGGGGGCCTGGGGCGGCGACGGCGGCGTCTGGCCCGCGTGGGGCGGCATGGGCGCGGGAGGCAAGGGCGGCAAAGGCGGCAAGGGCGTGGCCTCCGTGGGCGGCAAGGACGCGGCGGGCGCCGGCAAGACGTTTTCACCAGAGCTGGAACCTTGCTTGGGTCAAGCTGAACATGTTTTCTCCATGGCATCATAGCAGCATCACCTTCGCCACCAATAGTATCATCATCACCATCACCGTCATCATCATCATCATCGTCATCATCATCATCATCATCATCATCATCATCATCATCATGATCATCATCATCATCATCATCATCATCATCATTATCATCATCATTATCATCACCATCATCACCATCATCATTGTCTTCATCATCATCAGCAGCATCATCATCGTCATCATCATCATAATCAGAGTCATCGTCATCGTCATCGTTATCGTCATCACCGCCATTACCAAAATCTGCAGCAGCAGTAACATTATCACAACCACTACAGTCAGAATGTTCTGGAAATTGGCACTTCGCGTGTTTCCACCGGCGTTTCTGGCAACGATGCCTTGGCGACTCGCCCTGATTAGGGAAGTGTAGCAGCATGCAGCGCCTCAAAGGGGGGAAGCCGTCAAACCGAGGATCGGGATCAGCCTTAGCAGACTCAAGAGTGAACCATAGATGCCTTTGCGGCTCTTTCGGGGGATGAGGAGGCAGAGGGCAACGAGGAGGAGAGAGGAGGAAGAGGACGAGAAGGAGAATGAAGGACGAGGGAGTAGGAGGATGATGAGGGCGAGCACAAGGAATATGACTTTGACCGATCGTAGTCCCACTCAGCTTCTGTGAATTCTAGTTGGGCGGAAGAGCGGGCGGAGGAGGAGGATGATGAGGAGGAGGAGGAGAAGGAGGATTAGACGGACGACGACGACGACGACGACAGGGAGGAAACGATGGAGGAAGGGGAGGGAGAGGAGTAGGAGGGCGAAGGGAGAGGAGGAGGAGGAGGTGAGAGATGGCGAGGCAGAGTACGACGACGACGCAGAGTCAACAATAAAGGCCTTTTGGGACATGTTGCTCTGGGAGCTTCTTGGGGGGCCCCATTGGAGCCATCTCGGAGCTGTGTTGAGACCCTTCTGTGGGGCCTTCGGGGCACTCTTGAGACTCTCCTGGAACCAAGCCGCCCATTGGAGAAGGTCCCGACGATCTCCTACGTCTGGGTACCACCCAGCTAAGGCGTACTCGCCCTGGTCGGTGCCAACGGACGGTTCGGTTCACCGCGCAGCATGTTTCTTGCCATCAGCCCGCCGCAAGCGTCGTCACCCCAGCTGCTTGACGTAAGCGTTGCACTAATCCCATCGCGGCTTAAACCCTGAGTCTGGCAGAGAGCGAGGCAACCAACGAGTATCTTAAGGTCCTTTGCAGATACGAGTGCCTTCTCAGGTGGTCGTCGGGGGTGTGGCTTCATCCTTAGTCTTGCAGCCACAGACGAAGTGCGCATTATGCGGGGAAGTCGTCGCGCGGTCCATGCCGACCCCCACCATCATGACGTCATGGCCCCACTGTTGCTGTGGCGTCCCCTTCCAAGAATATTGTGCTTGTTCTCTTCTCATCCATTGTCCTCTTGTTTGCTGCGTTCATCTAATGTTTCCCTGCTCCCCATCCATGTTGCCATCTCTCATTTGCCTCTCTCTTCCCTTCGCCCCTGCCTTGTGCGGCATGCCGCGCGCGCCGAACAGGCCATCTCTCGACGCCGCGTCGCATCTGAGCGCGCGTGCACTGCTTGCGGAAAGTGATCGCGCTGCGGACCTCCAACGCCCTGGCAGAGTTGCATGATGCACGGGTTCAGATGGCCAGCTGGCTACCCGACTTCGGTTTACGATTCCGCCCTCACAGGCGGCGGACCTCATGCAGGACGCATGCGTCATCCCTCCCACGCTCGAAAAGAGAGTCGGTGATCAGGAGCGCTGAAATGGCACGGGTTGAGGGCTTCCTTGCCCGCTTGGACCGAGCGCAGGTCGCACGGTGCAAATCGCGCCAGGCAAGCAGGGGGCGACTTCTGCGCGCGCAAGCGATTCCATGAGTTAGCGCAGGTGCCTCACTAGGGCGCTGCGGACCCGTGGCCTCGCACTCTGCCATCGTCTACGCTCCGAATCGTCAAGAGTAGCATGGCCCCTATGCCGGCGGGGGCCATGAGAACCCTCATGATTTGATTGGCGGGCGTGGTTCGTGTTTGTCGCAGTCAGGTCACTTTTCTCGTTCCTCTTCTCGCTGCAGGTACGCGTGCGCGGACGTCTCCCATCGGGGGGGGTCCTCCTTCCCCCCCGACTTCCTCCCTCGCCCGGCCCCGCTGCTTCAGTGGGTCGCGGGGGCTTCCTCCCCGCGCCCCCTGGAGTCGGGTCTGGCCCCGCCCTTCCTTTCTCTTGTTTTTCCCCTGCCAGGCAAGAAACCTCGAGCGGGGGGGTCGCAGCCCTGCGGGGAACTCTGGCAGGGGGGTCACAGATCTGCAGAAACCTCCAGCAGGGGGGGCACGGCCATGCAAACTGGCACCTCTTAACAAGAGCACGAGCGCGGCGCGCTCGCTGTGGCCGGCGTTCGACCGGCGTGGAGGCTCGCATCCTGCGGGGTGCATGCCCGTTGATCGCGAGGTCCACTCATGCTTCCTCTCGCTCCTTCCTCCTTTGTTTCATCCTTCCGCGTCGTCTCGCGTCGGGGGGGCGGCGGCGATTTCGGCGCCCCCGCCCCCGCCCTGGGCGGCAGAGCCCTGAGGGCCCCAGTTGTCGAGCTCACTGCGTTTACATTGTTCCCGCTAATCGGCCCGCGCTTGCAGCGCATGTCATTGCCCCATTGGAATGCGCCCCTCGGGTCGAAGGGGGGGAGTTCCGCCTCCGCGCAGGCGCGCGCCGACATGTTCCTTCTCTCATGCGTTTTCGTAGTCTGGCCATCTGTCTCGGTCGTCGTCGCCAGGTGCATATCCCGTTCCTTCCCTGCGTGAGTTGGCGCCGACAACCCCCCTGATCGCAGGCGCGCGTCGCGGCGCTTCTCAACGGCCGCCTTTCTACGGTTGCTTTCTTTGTGATGTTGCTTCTTTCGTTCGCCCCTGCTAGGTCCTGTCGGCGCTCCGCTTTTGGGCGCCCCCTGAGCAGTTGAGCCTCTAGGGCGCCCGCCGTCGAGCCCCCATCCTCTGCTTGGTTCCGCCGCGCGCGTCCGCGCGTCGCGCGGGGGGGGCGCGCGCGACGGCGCGGGCCTGGCCGGCGGCGGCGCCTGCGTAGCTCCGCCTCTCGCCCCGCTTCGCGCTGCCCGGGGCGCGCGCGTCTCCGGGGCCGCCCCGACTCGCGGCGCGGGCGCCGGCCGCGAAGGGGCGGGCGTGCGCGGATGGGCCCATTGGCGCGATCATCCCTCTCTCGCGCTGCGGCCTGACTCCGGCGTCGCGCTGTCTCGCCCGCCACCCCCCAGGGGGTCTTGGTTGCTGCTTCTTGGCTTCTGTTGCGCGTTTGCCAAGATGCTGCGCAGTTGCTAGGGTGCTGCGGTCAAGCCGCATTTCCTAGCAACCCAACACTGCGTTGAATTGCATTGCCATGTGTTGCGCATCTATGCACCAAGATTAGTTACACGCGCGAATTTTCATCAACAAATGAAATAACAGAATACAACAACACAAAACAATCGCACCAACGTGGCACACCACCACCAAACAAACAACGGACACATAAATTTCTCTAATGCGCCACAGCCTGCGCGATGGGCAGGCGGATTTGACATGCGCACACCGAAGAAACAAGCGACAACATATGAACAGACAAAGACCCCATGGAAGAAACAGTGCCGAAGTAGTTCGTAGAGAAAAAGGAGGGCGAGCAAAGAGGAGGAGGAGGAGGGGGAAGAGAAAAGCAACGAGGTAGGCGAGCTTCTTTTTTTTTTGTAAAGACGAACTCACGGAATCCAGGGGATGTGGGCCCAACCTGGGCCGTGGCCTTATCATCTTTGGGATCGGGGCCCTTGAAGACGTCTTCGGTTGCTCGCGTTGGCCCTCTCTTTGCTGCCCTTCCGTTTGCAGCCGTTCGGGCCCAAGTGTTGTCGTGACGCGGTAATGCGCACTCCTGTTTTTCAAGGTTTCCTCAGCGACGGGGAAGGAGCCGAAGGTTGGCAAGCATCGGGACAGGGCTTTCGACTGGGAGTTGATAGCAACCACACTTGAGCCGTCTGCAACCGTTCCTGAGTTCCTCGAGTATGGAAACAAACTGTCCAAGTCTCCGATGCAGACTGAGAAGATGCAGCAGCGCCAGGACATGCCCAAGGCATTGGCGAAGGTTGAGGGGCAGAAAACCATGGCACCACAAGGAAACAAGTCAAGCAATCAATATTGTTGTTGGTCTTGGGTTTTGTGAGTTGGGCCGTCTGTAAATCGACAGGGGCGGCGCGAGGGGGTAGTCTGGCTCGCGCCAGCCAGGTCCGCAACAACTTGTCCTACGCCCAGAAAGCGATGCAGGCCGCTCTCACGGGCATTGCGAGCAATGTCAAGGGCCCGGCCAAAAAGGATCACGAGAGTTGGTCAGAGGAGATGGCCAAGCGTGCGCGTACACTGCGCAGGCGCAGCGGCCCTCAACCATCACACAGCGGGCCATGCAATGCAACGCAATTGGCAACAACAGCAACTGGGCCCTTCGGAGATCCTGAGATACATCGCAACCACATGGATGCGCTCGTTTGTATGTTGACCCTTACAGGCGCACGGCCAACTACGGCTACAAGTCCAAGCCGCCGCAGTGGTTCGTCGATCTCGGCATCTACGAGGACGTCGAGGACAGCGGCGACTCCGACGACGGCACTCCCCCCCCCAGGAAGATGAGGCGGTCAAGCCAAACGTCTTCGGTGCAAGACACCTCCTGAAGATGACGGTCCACACGATGATGCTGCTTCAGGTCCTTTGGGAGGCGCACCAGATAAGGATAAGGTCGATGACGATGGCAAGGCCGACGCCGAGATGTCGTACGAGTACGGGTTCGACAGGGGGCTGCAGATCGTGTGGCGCAGGACTCCTAAGAAGAAGGGTGCGAGGCCTTCTGCGATCGACATCGCATCTAACATGATCATTCTTGACAAGGCTCGGAGGACCGACGCGACGATAGCGGAGTGGGAAGACGGGTCACGAAAGGAAATGCTTCAAGTCACAGTGGGACTATGGAGGAATATGCAAAGTTACAGTCTTTCGGATTCGAGTGCCAGCAAGGAGGTCGACAAGGCTGCTCCTGCCGAGAAGCCTGAGGATAGGAGCAAGAATGTCGACGAGGCCGAGCCTGCCGAGAGGCCCGAGGAGACGCCCGCCAGCCAGAAGGCCAAGCGGAAGTCCGAGGATAACAACGGCGAGGAGGACGACGACAGCGTGAAGTTGCCTGAGCCTAAGAAGAAACGCTGGACTGCCCCACACTTCATGGACCCAGACGGCAGAGGCGCGACTGTCAAGTTCCGCAACGATGGGCCAGCTGGTGGGGCCAAGAAGAAGCTGTGCGTTGTCCAGGTTCAGGGGTCTACATTCCTCACGGTCGGCGCGAAGTGCTGGAGCGAGCCGTGCAGCGAGCAGGCGCAGACCACGTGCGCCGACTTCATGATCACGCAGGCGAAGTTCGTGGCCGAGGGCGGTTACACGAAGGAGGAAGCAGCAAAGGCGAAGGCCGATGTCTACGAGATTTTGAAGGCGGCGGCCCACATGCGAGATCTGGGGGACAAGTCCGCGGCCATGCCGATCGAGAACCAAGGATGCGCTCACCGCGCCACGGGCGCGAGGAGCAAGCAGACGGTCGATATCGACAAAACCGTCATCGAGGAGCACGGCGTCCCGAAGCCCGCCAGCAAGCCCAAGGCCAAGCCCAAGGGCAAGGTCAGCGTCGAGGGGGGCGCCGACGGGGGCAAGAGCGACCTGGCCAGCAGCTCCAACGCGTCTTCTGCCGCCACCACGGGCGCGCAGCAGCTCGCGCCGAGCGCCCCCCTGGAGAAGATCTGGACGACCCCTGCGACTCCGCAGGCGTCCGAGGTTCGGCGGCGGCCGGGGAGATTAGCCCCCCGCGCTTCCCAGATTCCGCGTAGGTGTGGGGATAGACATCGGGGTTCAGGAAGATAAAACTTTGAAGCAAAACCATGGGACCGCACTTGAGGACTACAGCTTGAGAAGGATGAGGATGAGGGCGACGAGGATGGCGAGAATGAGGATGAGGATGAGGCGGGGAGGTGAGGAGGAGAAACGAATGACGACAGCTGTAAAGCCCTGCTGTAACGATCAGGGGGGCTAGCGAGGCCCTTCCTGAATGCGACCCGTGATTCGGCTACCCTCCCCCGACCAGCTTGTTATCGGTTAAGGTCATCAAGTGTAGTCTGGGGGGGCGTCAACCACAAACCAACCACCACCACCCCGCCTGGAAGACGTTAAATTGATTTTCGATCGTAACCCCTCTGACTTCAAAAAGCACACGGGGGGGAGAATCGATCTGTCGCTCACGATTCCACCGTGGCCTTGATAGTGGCATCCTTTGGCCCCCTCTTTGTCTTCTCGCTATTCCTATTCCTCCTCCCCTCCCGCTCCCATTCCACCTCCTGCGACTCCTCCTTCTCCTCCTCCTCCTCCTCCTCCCTCTCCTCCCCCCCCTTCCTCCTCCCCCTCCTCCTGCTCCCTCGCACGCTGTTTGGGATTCCACTCGTTATCTTCACTATTCCGTAGCCCCTGTAGACTCACGGGTTCAAGGGCACCGAGTCCCCGAGTCCTGACACCAGGATGGCGATGCGCATGTCTGAGCTCGCCGCCTTCGGCGTTGATGGCGCCTTGCGAAACGCTTAACCCGCATTCACCCTGCATGCCTGTAGTGTCAGTTGTATGTTCGGCCCCCCTGCCTCCCCCCAACCCCCCCCCCCCCCCCCGCCCCTCTCTCCGCGCGGGGGGGAGAGGGGGGCGGCGCAGAGAATCCAGAGGAGGCGGATGGCGAGGGGGAGGCGGAGGAAGAGGAGGAAGAGGGGCAGCAGCAGCAGCAGCAGCACCAGCATTTGCAGCAGAAGAATGGCAGGAGGAGGAGGCGGAGAAGGACCACGAGCCGACTACGAAGATATTGAAGACGAGGAGGGCCAGAGAAGCAAGGATGAGGAGGAGGGCGAGGAGGCGCGGGGGGGGGAGGAGGAGGAGGGGGAGGAGGAGAAGGGGGAAGACGAGGAGCAGGAGGAGAAAGAGGAGGAGGGGCAAGGAGGATGCGAACTCGGCTGCCCCTACGGGAGCGCCCTCGCAGCGGTGCTCGCCTTGCTGCCGCGCAGCCCTTGCAGAGCGCGCTGACTGCGTGCGTAGCTCAGCGCCCTCGCCGGGGTCGTCGCAGCTTCTCTCCGTTGCCCGCGGACGAGCCTAACACTCAGGATGCTGACGGTGCAGGCGCAACTCTCGAGGAGCCCAAGGACGCCGACGATGTCCCAGTGGAGCAGCCGATTGAAGCGGGTCTGACGCTGCCCGAGAATGACGACGTCGCAGCCGAGTTCGCACGTGGTGGCGTATATCTTTGATACGCGTCATGGTTACATTCGTGCAGATGCGCTGGTACCAGCTGGCACGCAGCCCCAGGACGTCACGATCGAGGTGCAGGACTCGCCGCCGCAGGACGCGGCGCTCGCGCCCCAGGAGCCTCAGCCGCTGCAGCAGGCCAGCCTTCACACCCTTCGCAGCGGTTGGGCTTGCAGCTTGTGGAGGCATCGGCACAGGGCGCGCGGCCTGGAGCAGACTTGGCAGCTGGCACTGCGAGCGGTGGCACTGGTGACTTGGAGGCCGTGCTGGAGGGCATGGTATCGGGCTCAGGCGCGCCCCTGAGCGCGGGCCCAGAGGCGTTGCCAAGCGCGGCCTCGGACGGCACCGAGAACATGGACGAGGCGTTGGCCCGGGCGTTCCTGGAGTCGGGCCTGGCGGAGGCCGGGAAAGGAAGGAGGGGGGGCGATGAGGATGACGAGGTGGAGGAGGAGGAGGTGGAGGAGAAGAAGGAGGAGCAGGAGGAGGAGGAGGTCCTCCCTCCTCCAACTCCTTCTCCTCCCCCACCTCCTCCTCCTCCTCCTCCTGGTCCAGCTCCTCCTCCTTCTCCTCGGTCCTGCTCCCTCCTACCCCTCCCCGGCGTCTAATGACTGCTGGTTCCGCTGCTGATGCTCCTCCTCCTGCTCCTCATCTCTCTCTCTCTCTCTCTCTCTCTCTCTCTCTCTCTCTCTCTCTCTCTCTTTCTTTATGTCTTTCTTTCTCTCTCTCTCTCTCTCTCTCTCCTCTCTCTCTCTCTCTCGCTCTCTCTCTCTCTCTCTCTCTCTCTCTCTCTCTCTCTCCTCTCTCTCTCTCTTTTCTCTCTCTTTTTCTCTCTTTTTCCTCTTTTTTTTTTCTCTCTCTCTCTCTCTCTCTCTCTTTTTCTCTCTCTCTCTTCTCTCTCCTCTCTCTCTCTCTCTCTCTCTCTCTCTCTCTCACTTTTTTTTTTTTCCTCTCTCTCTCTCTCTATCTCTCTCTTTCTCTCTGTCTCTTTCTTTTTCTTTTGTTGTTTCTCTCTCTCTCTCTCTCTCCGACTGCTCTACTACTGTAACCTCTGCCCCGAACGTCGTGGATTTCGAAATCTGCTTGGGCCTTGCAATCCCCTCAGCCCTCTCCCCTCTCTGCTCTGCTCTGCTCTCTCTCTCTCTCTCTCTCTCTCTCTCTCTCTCTCTCTCTCTCTCTCTCCCTCTCTCTCTCTCTCTCTTTCTCTCTCTCTCCTCTCTCTCTCTTTTTCTTTCTCTCTCTCTCTCTCTCTCACTCTCTCTCTCTCTCTCTCTCTCTCTTTGTTTCTCTCTCTCTCTCTCTCTCTATCTCTCTCTCTCTCTCTCTCGGCTCTCTCTCTCTCTCTGCTCTCTCTCTCTCTCTCTCTCTCTCTCTCTCTCTCTCTCTCTCTCTCTCTCTCTCTCCTCTCTCTCTCTCTCATCTCTCTCTCTCCTTCTCGTCTCGCTCTTTTTTTTATTTTTTTTTTTTTTTTTTTTCTCTCTCTCTCCCTCCTCTCTCTCTCTCTCTCTCTCTCTCTCGTCTCTCTCTCTCGCTCTCTCTCTCTCTCTCCGCTCTCTCTCTCTCTCTCTTCTCTCTCCTCTCTCTCTCCTCTCCTCTCTCATCTTCTCTCTCTCTCTCTCCTCTTCTCATCTCTCTCTCTCTCTCTCTCTATCTCTCTCGCCTCTCTCTTCTCTCTCTCTCTCCTTCTCTCTCTCTCTCTCTCTCTCTCTCTCTCTCTCTCTCTCTCTCTCTCTCTCTCTCTCTCTCTCTCTCTCTCTCTCTCTCTCTCTCTCCCTCAACCCTCTCCCCTCAACCCTATCCCCTCGCCGTTCCCCCAGGTACTTGGCCAAGAAGCTTGAGGAGAAGGCCAAGTACGACGCGGCCACGAAGACCGAGAAGGGTGACATGTGCAGGAGGTGGATCTTCGATAA